GCAGGTTGTGAGTCAGCAGACCAAGAAGACTGGTGCAAACGCTTCCCAAGTTGTCTGGCATCTCAACTTAGTGTCCGTCAAATTGGCAGGGTGATATACTGCTTCTGAAACAAACCAAAGACGTACAAACAGAAAGCACCCGACATCAGGATACATTTTCTTTCCTACTCATACTCTCAAGGAAGGAGCGACGGATCCCCCATCCACCACAGGAGCCACAGAGTATCAGCGTAGAGAAAATTATTAGTCTGCATTCTCTAGTACCTCTCCTGCAGGTCATTGCATGTTGACTGCATGTTGACGCGACTGGCGGGAGGTGATGTTGGTACTACCACAACACCGTTGGCAAATCGTCGTCGGCATTCTCCGAGGCAGCCCCCCTGAATTGTGGCACAAGAGCCTCCAGATGCCAAGAGATATGTGGCGGTTCCGGCCGTCTCGCTACCACAAACCTTCCCTCCTCCCAATTGCTGGATCGCTGTCCCCATTCAACACCTTCCGAAATTCACCTCCATTCGGCCCAGCGCATGAGTTTTCGTCCCGTCTCGGGAACGAGCATCAACTGGACGCCGATCTCACTCTGCTGGCGTAAAGGTAATGTTCATTCCCCAACTATGACGTTGTACTCCAGCGGATCTCGGCTAAGGAAGATCGACAACGTAACGTCCCCGAAGCGACTCTAGATCGGAAACGTTGGCCGTGAGCCGACAAATTCCCTTTGCAAGGCGATCACCTGGATGTTACCATTCGGCGCCGAATGCAACTATTGAGATGCGTTTTGGTGCATGGGAACGCACACCTTTTCGTTTATTTTTCCACGAGTCTGCGATCATGCGTTCTGTTCGTCTCCGCCCGACTCCAACTCCGCCGTCTTTTATTATCCTCAATAACCCGCACCTTCTCCTTTTAGCACTTTAGACGAAACCCTGTCCCGTCCCTCGCCCCCTTGTTGTCCAATCAGTTAATTACATATTCTTCCCCGGGCCATGCTGCTGTGTTAAGCGTCAGGAGCATGAGCCTCACTCTTGGCGCAGGCGATTTATACCTGGGAACATGATCCCCCGAGCGCTGCTCACCAGAGTCTGCTCAGTTAATCTAATTGCTCACTGCCCATGGTTGTGTACACTTGTCGCTAGCCCCCTCGGACCGCAATCCGAAGGGAGTCGCCGCATTTCGATTCACTCTATGACGATTATGCACTCTGTCCGCCGTCTTGAGTAGGCGGCGAGTGACATGTAGTTGGGATGTGCGCTTATGCCGGATACATTGCTTCTCGGTTTGGGCTGCCGTCTCAAGAACCCAGAAGATATCCACGGCCAACTATGATGCTGAGAAATGCCGAGATGGATTCCGGAGTCCTGGGCAGCGGGGTGCTTCCTTCCAGGGTCCAGCATGCGATAGGTATAAAAGGGAGAGGGATGAATTATACTCTTCCAGTCAGTTTGCACACATCTCTTCAGAGAGGGTTATCTTGTCACAATATCTTGCCTTGTTCGCCCAATAAATTCATATTCTCTTGCAGCCACAGTCACCATGCTGTTCAACATCCTCGCCCCGGCGGTTGGTCTGGCGACTCTTGTCGCGGGCCACGGCGCTGTTACAAGCTATCAAATTGGGGGCACTGCGTACCCTGGATACGAAGGATTTTCACCAGCCACCAGCCTCAAAACTATCCAGTTCCAGTGGCCTGACTTCAATCCCACCATGGTTGTTACCGACGCCAAGATGCGGTGTAATGGGGGTGTATCGGCCGATCTGAGTGCGACCATCAAGGCAGGTGAGAATGTCACAGCTATCTGGAAGCAATGGACGCATGCGCAGGGTCCTGTTATGGTAAGTAATCTCCTTGATTTGACTTTACGGAACCATCACCGCTTACTTGAATTAATCAGGTGTGGATGTTCAAATGCTCCGGTGCCTTTGCCTCGTGCAAGGGTGACGAAAAAGGCTGGTTCAAGATCGACCAGATGGGCATGTGGGGAACTCAGCTCAACTCAGAGAACTGGGGAACAGCCATCGTCTTGAAGAATCTCAAGTGGAGCAGCGTCATTCCGAAGAATCTGGCGCCGGGCAACTATCTCATCCGCCACGAGCTGCTGGCTCTGCATCAAGCCAACACGCCCCAGTTCTACCCCGAATGCGCTCAGCTTGTTGTTACTGGAAGCGGCAGCGCAACTCCGCCTGCCGATTTCCTCTACTCCATCCCCGGCTATGCGCCTCAAAGTGACCCGGGCATCATGGTAAGTTGACCCTTGAAGAATCCAAATATAAACTGTTTGTTGCTGACAATGCCCGCACAGGTCGATATCTACGGCAGCAAGGCCACGACGTACACATGTCCTGGTGGCCCAGTATGGTCTGGCTTTCAATCTTCTTAAGGAACAGGATCAAATTGGCCTCTCAAGGAGGAGAAAATTGAGGGGATGAGACCCTAGCTTCATTGTACATACTTACCTACATATATCACCACTATATCGCACCATCTTATTTGCTTTCACGGAGTTCTCCAGCCCATTGCGCTGCCACGAAGTCTACTTATGAACTAAGCAACCTAAACATCGGGATTATACCAAGATCATGGATGTGAACGCTTCCTTCGGGAACATCAGAGAAGGAAGCGTTCACATCAGAGACTCTCAAAAATATCAAACTGTACCATACTCTACTAAACGAGCTTCACTCACCCAACAACCAGAGTTGCAACCCAGACGTCCATCGTCCTTGTTTTCTTTGCACCCCCCACTGCTTCCGCGGCTGCCACAGTGGCATCTCGCGCCGAGTTGAGTAGGCTCCGGACCTTATCTTGGTTGATCGCCTTCCCTACATCATCCACAAATTCTTTAGCAACCACCGTCGCCATTTCCCAATACCCATCCGACAGCTCCGCGTCCGGCACCACCGTGCTCTCCGACTCAATCTTCCATCCCGAGCCGGCCGCAACCTCCTTAATCCCAGCCGGGCTCAGCAGCGTCTGCACATTCTCGCTGCTCGTCAGCCGATGCGCCTCGAGCGCCGCCCTCGCCAGAACCGCGAGGACATGCGGCACCGCCGCCGGCTCCGTCGCATGCAGCGCGTACTCGGCGACGCACACACGCTTTGCCCGCTCCTTCAGCGCCGTGAGGATGCGTCCCAGCTCCTCCGCCGACGCGAAGTACCAGATGCAGTGCGCAAGCACTGCGACATCCCACTTCTTGTCCTCGTTCTCCGGCGCAGTCAAAAACGATACCGGGTCCGCCCGGTGGAACGTGATGAACTTGCCCACCGGCCCGGACGCGAGGTGCTGCTGGGCTTCGCCCAGCGTGAACGGCATGCCGTAGTCCAGCGGCGCCGGGTCCACGGCGTCCACTTGTCCGCCGCCAACCTGGGAAACGGCTTCGGCCAGCACGGCAGTGCACGTCCCCTGCCCGCAGCCGAGCTCGAGGATCCGGCTCCCCGGGTGGATTACACCCCAGGCATTGACCAGGTTGATCCGGTGGGTGGCTTGGCTGAGCTCGATGGCGGAGGAGATGGGGTTGGGCCCGGATGCGGGCTGGACGTTGTAGCTGGCGATTTTGGAGGCAGATGAGAGGGAGAGGAGGGCGGAAGGGCTGTGTGTTGCGACCGACATTTTGCGAAGAACGGGGAGAGCTCTGAGAATGAGTAGAATTTTTGGTCGTTAAAACGTTGTGATAGGAATTCGAGCTCGAGAGAGGTGGAAAGCTAAGTGCTGGTGATGTTGATTCAGTATTGACGATTGAGTGAGATGCGCGTTCAATCAATTTATATGGCTGGGCTCTCTACACTAATACGTGCATTGAGCATCGAGGAGAAGGAATTGGGGCAGCAATAAGTCAAAAGTTGACTCACAACTCACGTCCAGCCAGTGATTGGCGGCATCGGTATCTTGTGGCATTAAATCAGTGGGGACTAAAACTGCTGTTTTCGCGGGAAGGAATGAAAAGCTGGTTTATTTCTCTTTCGTATTTTTGCTCTTGGCAGGGCAGGCGAAAGTTGAATGAGACGTTGGAGAATGTGAGTCACTCAAGTCAATGATAATCGTGACAAGGATGCGATAAACGATGCACACTAAACATGTGAATCAGTAATAAGTACGTATCTCGTAATGGAAGGTGCGTGTGACAACCGGCGCGCCGTACCATTATGCTATGCTCATTTGAGTTTGATTGAAAATCTCGGATTTTCTTTTCCTGAGAAAATAGATCATCACTTCATTCATTCTCACCTTGCAGGATAAGTTAGAGCATTGGTTCTGAGGAGGTCGGAGAAAAGAGCTTGATTTATATTAATGAACGGTGAGAGAAAATTTATTTTGAAAGCCGTAATCTATAATGAAATGCTATCCTTGATTATGAACCCATTTACCTATAGCTGCATAACTTGAAGTAAAATGTGGCGATCTGGATCCTCGCCAAGGGGTATGGGGTGAGGCTCAAGGAGGTGAGTGGTCACACACAGTAGCCAAGAGTGGATGGAGTATCAAAGAGTAAATAGATCGCTTGCTAAACCACGGTTCAATTGCAAAGACTAAACTGTCTACTTTAGTTGATGGCTGAAGGACCACAAAGGACCTTCAGTCTATCTGCTTATATAGAGCCGTGGCTCTGAATGGCTCTATCTAGAGCCACCTAGAGCCGCCCAGAGCCATCATTGTGGGGCCCCTTTGGTGGTGCCCATGCAGGCTTACCCCGCATCCTTGCCTGAGGCTTCGACCTTCAGCCAACCAGAATCGTGACAATAGGGTAGTTTAAATAATAATAGAAGCCCAAAATACTCTCCTAAGGCTAATTTAAGTACTTGACTTATTTATACGTATTTTAAGCCTTACGAATACCTTCATTCGTTGGCCTTAAATTTGAGCATTAGGCTGTGGAAGACGCCTTTTCGGCTAATTTGGTGGCCATCTGTCCCAGGGTTTTGACTGTCCCTCGATTTTGGCACCCCCTACTTGTAGGGGGCCTATGAACTAAGACTCCACCCTCAAGACGCCGCCACATTAAACAGCCCGCATAGCTCAGGGGTAGAGCGTATCACTAGTAGTCAGGACTTAACATCTTAACAATTAGACATGATAAGGTCATCAGTTCAATTCTGATTGTGGGCATCACCTTTTGCTCATTTCAATTTTGCTTTTGAATTTTAATACTGGGAAGTAAGCTTTGGCTTGCTGAAAGGTCTTATTTGTTCCATTTTGGTGTGTGTGCAGGCAGGCGTGGCACGGTATTAATCGTAATACATCGAGGACGCAGCTCCTACAAAGCTTTGAAGAGACGCAACAATCCTCACTTTCATCAAATGTTGCAGCCCCTAACAAACACCCACTCGAATGATGATCTCACTTGCCCAGTGTAGCTTCCAGACCTTCCATACCGCACTTGCCGACAACATGGCCTCTGTCAGCCACACCCGTAAGGAGCTATTTCCCTTTTCATCTTACCTGCCTGTGAGACTTTCCCTTGGCAAACCGCCCACAACCTGAAGCAGACCATTTCTTCCACACTCGCCTTGTAGAATTTTGCCCTCGAACAAAGCAGATTTTATCACGTTCACTCAAAGAAACTTCACACGTCAACATATCGGCATCATTCTACTCAAAGAAATCTTGTACGACAAGCCGTTTCCATCCTTCCAGAATGAGTCAACCGCCGAATAACGGGCTCCTGGCACCACCGCCGAGTAATCAGATTTACGTACCACCGTCGAATAATGAGCTTCAGCTACTACCGCCGAATCAGGGACCCCAGTTCCCCCCGCCTTAGGTTGTCGGCGCTGGACCCCCAGAATTAGGCACCCCTACTCCGCAATGGTTTCTTCAAGAAGTTATATTCTCGCCATCTATAAGACCAAACCCTCTGTTGATGAAGATCCAAAATGAAGTGCAATGGGAAGTGACCGATCCATGATCATTAGGGAACTGAGAACGGCTGCGATGCGGAAGGAACTTCTTCGAGTAGCCGAATACCAAGTTCGATGCCTCATTCAGTTGATGGAAATGGAAACCAGAGCGCTTCGAGAGGTAGCAAAATATTTGGCGGACTATTCGTTATTACAGCGGGAGAATGTGGACTTTGGGCGGCAGGTCCTAAATCTCAGTAATCGACTACAAGGGCAGCTTCATCACCAAGAACAACAGCGAGGAGCGGGGTTGGAACGAGTCGACACCCCGAGGCATGAAGACGCAACACGTTCTGGCCCCCTACAAGATGGTGGCTCCCTACGAAGTGGCGGTGGAACTCACCTACCTAGCGACTCCCTCATGGGCTTGGCCTGCCAAAAGCCGCTAGGTAGGCAAATCATACTTGATTAATGTTCCAAGATATCGAGCTGATGGTAAAAGGCGAAAAATAGCGAAGAAGAATTGGGTTGTTCAAACATGCCTGGCGTTGTCGTGTAATATAAGGGGTTGACGAGAGGCAAACTGGGGATTGTGAACCACGAGGCGATAAATGGCATCCAGTTACATGGATCTGCCTCACTAGCGTAGCATAGGAATGGTAGCGTTCAGACGATCATTTATGGACTAATTTACTTTAGTATATGACATCCTAATAATGCATTGGGATGATTGGGATGATGGGCTTGGCTGAGCCTTGGACTGCCTCCGAGCTGTCATCACACTGCTCCTTTGCTATGCTTGCAGTACAACTGATCATAGACCCTGGCTTGCTAGACATGTAACAAACGATATGCGGCCTGAGGTTAGTGAGCTCGTCTCCAGTAAGTGGCCTTCTATCTAATTATTCATGTGCTTTTTTCACAATGCAGTGTGACATTCACCTTTCGATGGTACTTGTTATCGCCCGAGAAGTGCCTCGGCGGGACTTCACAGATAGTCTCTTTGTTGTATACCAACCCAGCCCAATGTAAACCCTCTATAAGCTTACAGAATATGAAACCCTCGATGTCCCTTTACTCCTCGAAACCTTCTTGACTTTTGTCTCGCCACACAAGTCGGTCGTGTCCACATGTGTCCCTCCGCACGGGTACGTTTCCGCGCCCACGATCTTGACGACGCGGAACTTCTCCCCAGGAGGCGCCAGGCTCTTGTCGGGGATGAGCCTCTCGAGCCCGTTCTTGCGGAAATCGTCCTCGTCCCAAAAATCGATCTCGACGGGCATGGCGCGGGCAATGTACTCGTCGAGTTTGCGCTGGATGGGCTCCTTCCACTTTCCTTCGATCAGGCCCTGGAACTCGCAAGAAGCCGAGTCAGGGAAGTGTGACGCTTTAAGCTCGTCGAAGCCCGGGACCTCCGCCTCGAGGAGGTGCCGCACGGCGGCGCCCAGGACGTGGCCTGCTGTGTGTAGCCGCGAGAAGTACAGCCGCTTGTCCGCGTCGATGGCCTGCTTTACTGTCTCGCCTACTTGAAACGTCGTCCCCCCGTCTTGTTGTTGCGCATCATCGAAGCGGCCAAAGTGCAGGACTTGCCCGTCGTTCACAGCATCCATGCGCACGGCTCTTACGCGAAACACGGAAGACGTGCCGGTGATGGTGCCCTCGTCGGACGGTTGGCCGCCGCCCTGCGGGTGGAAGATGGTCTGCTCGGTGACCACGGCAAAGTCCTCGTCGGTACCATCTTTGAAGAGAAGGCGGTTGGCCTCCTCAAGCGCGGAAAACGGCTTGATGGCAGTCACGACGGACTGCAGCGTGAGCAGTTTGGCGTTGTGGTGGAACGCGAGATACGTTCGCGGTACAGCGGTGCTCCCCTGTAAAATGACGTTAGCATGGCCGGAAAAGGCTTGAAAGACTTTGCGCTCCAGGAGTGGGGGTTTACCATTACAAATATCAGGGCTTCAATCTTTGGTGGATGGGAGTAGGACTTGAAAGTTCAAGCGCTTGTTTAAGCTTTACGGCAAGCCTTTCTCACGTTGACTGCAGTTACCCATATGCAACTTTGGGTGGTCTTTATGCGGCGGTTTTGAGTTTGACGGGAATTAGCAGCGGGACGGGACGCCCTTGAGTTGACTTGACTTGGAACCCCTGAACCCGCCCTAATGTTCGGGTCACACATGGAAGCCACTGGAAGGGCCACCGGGATATGTCAAATTTGGTGGGCTGCATCGAGCGGCTCACGAAATCGGACCCTGTTTGCTTTGGTGGTAAGGGTTAGGGTTTGACTAGGCAGAAATAAAAAACAGTCTGCCCAACATGCAATGTCCGGACAGCTCCACCCCTGAAAATCTGAATCAACACCCCCATGGCAGTCCCTTGAAAACCCAACATTCCTCCTCCACCAGCAGAGTACGAGGGGGAGCAACATCTCACGTTCAGTCGCGGTGGCAGAGTGGTCTAATGCGCAAGACTAGAAATCTTGTTCCTTCGGGAGCGTCGGTTCAAATCCGGCCCACGACTCGAGATTTACTTTTTGCACAATCTGGTTCAAGTTTCCGGGGAGCTGTTATTCGACTCTCATGCCACTTGCACCTGCACCAATGAAGGTTCCAGTGTCACCGTTCCTTCCCCCCCTCCCTTCGCGACTAACTTCTTGGTCTTATGTCGCGCACAAAGCTGCGGTCAATTGTGCTCCTGACTCCATGAACTGGCACGCGCAGTAGTTATCACAGTTTAAGATTACCAGACAAATTCTTGCGTACTGTTTGGTATTGCCCTCTACAGCTACTATCTAGACATCTCTCTGCCTTGTAATGGCCGCCCCCCTTACGCGAGCAACTGACCGCCATCCGTCGACGCGACCGAGCCGGTGACGTTTGCATCCTTCAGCAGCCACAGATACGCCTCGGCGACGTCCTCGGGCGTCCCGAATTTGCCCGTGAGCAGCTTTGTCGCCTCGGTGTCGGTCACCACGGCGTCTATTTCCTCCTGCGACATCAGGTCGTTCCAGAGCGGCGTGGCGACGAAGCCCGGCTTGACCACGTTGACCCGGATCGGCGCCAGGTCGACAGCAAGCGCGCGGACGACCGAGACGAGCCCCCCGGCGAGGAACCCGATGACGGCCCACCCCTTGCCCGGCTTGTCCACCACGGAGCCGCTCGTGATGGTGATGCTGGAGAAGCGCTCCTTGGGCAGGTGACGCCCGGCTACCTTGGCGAGCAGGATGGGCACGGTCATGCGCATGTGCGTCGCCTTGTTGATCGCCTCGACGCTGACGGCGTCGAGCCCGCCGAGCGTCAGGATGTCGCCAGCTGTGTAGACCACGTGGTTGACCACGACACCGCCCTGGGCCGACTTGGCGGCCGCGAAGAGCGCGTCAAGGTCCGCCTCCACGGTGGGCTTGGACAGGTCGCTCGCCAGTCCGCACACCGAGCTTTCGGGGTAGTCGGTGGCGAGCCTGTTCACGACGGAGTCGACTTTGGTCTGTGAGGATGATGAGATGGTCACCCGTGCGCCGGAGGCGACGGCTGCCTCTGCGACGCCGGCACCGATGCCCGACGAGCCGCCGATGACGAGGACGTGCTTGTCCTGAAGCTTGCGGTAGGTGTTTGGTGCCATGCCTGTTTTCTTATTGTCTTTGTTGCTGTGAGAGGGTAGGATGTCTGCCAAGTCAAGGACACGGAGTGAAAGGTGTACTAGTTCTGCGTGAGTGTGCTTGATATACCGAGAACCTTCTCAGTCGATTGCCAGAGACAACAATGTCTTATATATATCTACCTACCCCTTTCTACTCCGCCGTCCATACTCTACGCTTCAACACTCTAACCATAACTGGACATAAGGCTTGTTAACTCCGTCGCTCAAGTGCACATTGCATTCGCGCAAATACGGAACCAAGCTGCGAGAAACATGTACTAAGTTGCTCTTTTCGGAACTGACATCGTCAAGAGGGAAAAAGGAGCCTGCGCTGGCACGTTCGGCTGTACCGTGCCTACACAGGCAGATGCCTCCTTTCCATCTATTGGGCTCGGAGTTATCGAGCAGCGAGGAGCTTGGGCCGGGGTAATCTGCTCATTGTTCACCCCATCAAGTCGCGCTTCCGCCCGTAAGACACCTTACCTGCCGTTCTCACGCGACTGCTTAAGGTTTGTAAGCACCCACCGAACTCTCCCCACGTTGGGTGGCAATGGGCTTTATTAGTGCATGTTTCGGAACTCTGTATGGGTGGTGTTCTTCCACTAATGTCCGGGACAAGGCACTGACTGATCCGCATTC